ATTGAGGTGGGGTCAAACACGAGATTGAAGAAACTTTGTTAGTTGGCCTGACGGTACAAGACAGAGATTGAAGGAAAGGAACATTAGAAGACAGACAGAGCATACTTCTCCGTCACACCTTTACAGTTCATCAAGGGGTCAATCAGCGGGAGGCAGCGTTCAGACGAAGTGTTCAACACACTTCACGAGGCACAGTCGGGTTGAAAGCATCCAGAACATGCATTATATATCAACGATCTTCAACCAAGCATGTTCGTCCTTCAAATTACCGTATAGGCAGCGAATGGACAGAGTCTATCAAAGGGACGAGTCACCTTTTCGAAGTGATCTACCTTGCAGACGCCATGCCCTTATCCATCTTGTACACGGATCTAGACATGCAATACTTTCAGGGTCTTTTTTTTCTTTTTTTTTCTTCATTAATCCTATATACACAAATACAGTGCCTCCGTTGCGAAAACAAGCTGCCCGTAAACTCGGATGGCCAAGTGTGCAGCAAATTGGTATCTCTAAACATAACCCTTTGTTCCGTATAACGCCCATGGTGTGTGTATACCAACAACCTCGTGCCCTATCATGACATCTACCCCCTTATTCCTTCTACCACGATTACCCTTCATGACATGCGTGAGCCCTTTTCTGGTCAATAGCTGATTTCCTGGAACGGCACGAAAGTCTCGCGGCCTTCGAAGCGCTCGCCGTCAGCAAGGGCATCGCATCCCATCTTTTCATCAACATCCTCCATCAAATCGTCGATGGCGCGCTTGGTGCTAGTCTTGTAACAGGCAGCCTTGTCAGTGAAAAGAAGAGTGTCGTCGTGAGCAGATTGCATGGCCACGAGGGCGCCAGCTTTCAGCAAGCCATCCCACGTCAACAAGGCTCGCTTGGCATCCTCGGTGAAGTTGCAGCAGAAGCGCTGGATATTGACAAACTGAAGCGCCGTCATGATGTCCTGGCCGAAAACGGCCATGATGTATGCCGCCACGAGGGGAGGGCCGCGGTCAGTGCCCGAATCGCAAACGACCAGAACCTTGCCCAGCCCACGAGAGCCGTCTGCCACCTCCTTTCTGCAAAAGTGGTTGGATAGCAGATGGTTGTTGATGACGGAAACAATCTCGTAAAAGGCGGCCAGTATGTGATTGGGGTTGATGTCGATGTAGCCAGCAGAAATGCCGAGTGTTGCCGCTGCCCTCTGTAAGCTGCCGAGCACCATGGGAGCCCGACCGTCGCGAACGACGACAATCATGGTGATGGCCTCCCGGCGCAGAAAGTCGTGGTCGCGGACGATGCTGGCAGGGCCCAGGTAGAGGTAGTCGAGGATGCGCTGGGCCTCCCTGCGATGCTCGTACTTCCACAGCCAAGTGTTGTCGACTGAGACCTGCTGCCTGTTGCCGGTGATGATGGCGAGGTTCTCTCTGGAGATCAGGCTCGGGTGAACGCGGCCGGGCAAGGGCTCGAGGACGATCTGAGAGTCGTCGCGGCTCTTGACTGGCACGCCGATGACGGGCGGGCTGGGGGCGCGGTAGCTGTATGGCGAGCACGCGACGACGAAGCTGCGGTTTGGGCCGTGGTCCATGATGGCGGCGGAGGGATCGAGGGTTTTGGAGAGTCCAGAGGGTGAGGGCGTGGATTGATCAGAGCAGCTGTCGAGACGAAGAAGAGCAGTTC